TGTGTGTGTGTGTGTGTGTGTGTGTGTGTGTGTGTGTGTGTGTGTGTGTGTGTGTACCTTCAGGTAAAGAAACCTGGACGAGCAGCAGAGTCAGGTGGATCCAGCACTTCCACAGCAAGGCAGCCCAGAGCGCCATCAGCAGGCTCACAGCAGGTCGTTCAGTCAATCAGCACCAGTCTGAAAAATGCCACAGACACGTGCCACACTCACCTGTCTGTTACCTGTTAGCAGCCAAACCCTGTAACCCGCCTCCACTTGTAAATGAGCTGGTTCGTTTGCTCTGATAAGGATTTCTGATCATGATGATGCTCTGAGTGGGAACTGGTACCTCTCTTCCCCTCTCATGATGCTACTCAGTATGATTCACTGGCAGGCTCATGTGATAATTAAATAGTACAGTCCATCAGTGATTTCTCTGCACATGAGTTCATCTGTCTGATTGCAATCATCATTCTCTTTAAAACTGATCATCAGAGTTCGCATTAATTCTGTGGTTGACTGAAACCAGTCACTAACGTAATTTTGACTTCCAGGTAGGGGTGGGCGATATAAACAATATACCATAGAAACTATATAAATTTGGCCGCTCTATCGGGATAGCGCATGTTGATGACGTCACCAAGCGGCGCCTGTTTTGGTCAAAAGTATGCGGCTAAAACCATTATCATCTGTAAATTATGGCGGGTGACAGTCATAGCAAAGAAATGAAGCACTTTTGAAATATGGGGAAAGCCAAAAACTGCGCTTCCTCCACTTCCGTAACATTGATTCATTAATGCTGAATTCTCTCGCAGCTGCTCTGTTCCCATGTTGTTGCAGTATATTAATGACTAACCTCATATTGTGGATGAATAATCTCAGTTGTTCTCCTGATTGAAGTTTGGCCCGTGTATAGCATCCTGCTATGCGATTGCATTTGTCCCTGACCACCAGAATCCCTCACGTTAACTTTTATCAAGTGGGAAAAAAGTTGGTGTTCATCCTCCAGCTTCACTATGCTAATGTTATGCTAACATAGCTGTGTCGCTAGCAATCACGTAGCACAACATTATATAC